ACCATAAGACTGGATGGGTTTACTCCATAATTGCGTGACATAAGCTAGGAGGTCCCCTGTGGATTGGTTCCGGAAACCATACTGCCTGTCGCTAATCAAGCTGTGACGTTCAAGATAGTCCAGAAGCTCGCGATTTATGCACCTCTCCATCACCTTACTTATAACAGAAAGCAGAGCTATAGGCCTGTAGTTGTAAGGGTCGGTCTTAGATCCTTTTTTTTTGGAAGGGTTGGAAATGAGCAAATTTCCAGTTTTCTGGGAAGGTGCCGGATTCATAAGAAATCTGGTAGAGAAGCGAAAGAACTGCACACCGCTTCAGTACAATGGCAGGAATCAAGTCCGGACCAGAAGCTTTGTTGATATCGAGCGACAAGAGCACTCGTCTTACGGTCTTATGCCTGAATGTTACCTCCCGTATAGTGTAGGGAACCCTTTGAATTAATGGCTCTTGGACATTGGGGGGGCCACTTCCGCCTTGGCCTTTGAGTCGAATACAATAGTTCCATCCTGACACGTAAGTGGTGGAAGGCTACTGTGAGAGAAGTTCTTTTCAATCTGCTTGGCCAGCGTCCAGAAAGACCGACTGCCATTGCACTGCGACATTACCCTGTGCCTATCTTTTATATCGTGCTGATTTTTGGCATTGCGAACCGCTTCATTATATTTGTTTCTGAATTCGACGTCGGTTTGTCTGTTCTCCTCAGTGGGGTTTTGTAAGAAGGTTCTGTGTGCCTTGATCTTCTGCTGGTGAGCAGTGTCACACGATTTGTTAAACCAGCCGTTGGACCCTCGTTTAGGCACTTTCACTGTGTGCGGGATGTATTCCTCCAATCCGACGTGGATAATTTCTGTTATCGAAGAACAGACAGCCGACGCATCCACGTCAGTGAAACAGACATCTCTCCAAGGAAAGTTATAGAAGCAGTCTCTGAGCCCTTCCCAGTCGGCATGTCCGTAATGCCAAGTTTTGCGGCCTGTACGAGTTTCTGCTGTCACAGCGGGTTGTCACCAAAACCTAACCTCCACAACACCGTGGTCTGAGTTACACAGGGGGGACAGGACAGCAGTGCTGTAAGGGACACGATGCGTGGTCAGAAAGAGATCCAGCAGGCTACTGGCGTGTGACGAGACGCAGGGGAAAAAAGTAGGGGTCGTCACCAGCTGGGTCAGCCCTTGAGTAAGAGCGAACGCTTCGACTAGACGACCTGCTGCATCGGACTTGTTTGAGCCCAACCAAAGCTCATTATGGGCATTGAAATTACCGAGAAGAACTACCTCTGAAGTGGGGTGATTGATGTTCAGGAAGTCGATCTGAAGGTTTATTGATAATAGAATACTTTTAACTAACACCTAGTCCAATCGAGATTCACCCCATTCCCTCAACCCCCCTACCCCCAAAAATTATTCGGAAAACGATTAGGAAGCTCTAAAATATTCAGAAATAGTTTAAACGATTTTTAGTTTTGTCGTTGTTTAATACTAGCTCGGCCGCACGTAACCTCCGCCACCAAAATTTACAGCCCTAAAATTTTCTTGGAGGAATGTCTGAAACATCCGGAAGCCATTTGACCATTTTTTTCTTCGTTTGTTGATCACTCTGCTGTTACTCCACCGATTTCCGAGAATATTCAAGGTTCTTTGTGCATGGCATAACAGCAACCTAAAGCAGATTTTTTATGATTACAATAATTCCTGTCAATAGGCGCGGTAAGTAAAGGCATCTGTCTCAAATCGTAAAACAAAAATAACAACTGTTATTTTATTCCTTAGAATATTGGATTTAAGCAATACATTCGAACAAATATCATCCCTGCATTACGGTACTTCCGGTCACGGCCGCTCGTGTGTAATACTTGACGGCGAACTGGGCCGTAGCAGACAGAGGAAGATGAAAATCCAATCCTCTTGCAAATTAATTCCAATAAATGCCTAATACAGCGATGCCAATATTAAGGAGGACCTAAAAGCGACAATCTAGATAGTGAATACCCGGCAGATGACCTATCCACTGTAAACTTGATTAAAAATATACGGGCTGAATACCCGCGCGACTGGAGTCCACCAAATCGGCGCGGCAAAGCCCTGAACTACGGTACCCAAATTTAACAAAAAACACGATATGGGTCATCCTTCTGGAATTTAGCCGGGTGACAAAGGGGAGCCCCTCAGGCCGACTGGTGAAATTTGCGATAGGATAGGATATGGAGGACCTAACGCAACGGAGGACCTATCGACTCTAAAAAGCCAATGAGTGAAGGACCTAGCCATCGGAATCTATATATATGAGTATACATATATATATATAGAATCTCAAGTTATATATATATATACGAGCCCCTTTCCACTTCAGTTGGCTCACTTCAAGATTTGTACCAAAATATGCCTTTATAAGCTAAACATGACGAAACTATTTACTTCTAAAACAATTTATTTTCTAAAAAACATTTTAGTTACACTCTAGTCGTAAAAAATGCATATTTGAAATCACTTAGACCTATAACTAATAGAACATCTGAACAAATAAACAATGTGCGAATAAATACGCGAAGTTAACAAAGCAACAATTGAAAGATTACCATTGGGTATCATATCATGGCTGAAATTCTTTGGGGCATAGTGTTAACCAAAAATTTGGTGTAAAACAATCCCATATTTCTTGAAGCTTTTGTCTCAGTTCGGTGATTGTACGAGCAGGATGGTGTCGTAGAACCTTTTTCATCTCGTGCCACAAAGTTTCAATAGGTGACAGATCTGGACTGCTAGAAACCCATTTCAAAAGTGGTACATTCTTTTCTTCCATTCATTTTATAGACTTTTTTGAGGTATGGCACGCTGCACCATCTTGCTGAAACACAAAATCTTGGCCGGGTGTCAAACATTCTTCCATCACTGGTAAAAGCGATTCTTCTAAAATTGCCAAATATTTGTTTGTATCCACATTTCCATCAATAAAATGAAGTTTTCCTACTCCTTTTGATGACATACTGCCCCAGACTATAATGGATGCTGGAAATTTCACTTTTCTCTTCAGACAGTCAACATGGAATGCTTCATTTTTTTTGCGAATAACTCTACTGCGACTGTTACCAATACAAACTTCGAATCGGGCCTCAACACTTCATTCTGTTGCATACCATTGATGAGGTGTTCATTGTCTATGTTCTTTAGCCCATCTAAGCCGATTTTTCTTTTGGAGTGGAGTTAATAGTGGCTTTTCTTTGGCCTATAACCAAGTTGTGCAACTTTAGGGTTTTTACTTCATTTTTTTTTATAAGAAAACTTACCTTGCAAGTGCTAAATCCCAGTTTGTGGGCCTCTCTATGGGTTGTGGACCTCGAAATTCTCCTTCCAACAGCGTCACTCCACAGAGCACTTAATTGTAAATAATTGGCACGCCTGTTTTTCACGATTATTCTTCCTAATGCTCTTCGGTCGGCATTTGTGATATTACTTTTTTTCACATATCGTGGCTTAATATTAACTGGACCAGTTACGTTATATCTTCTAACAATATTTCTCACACTGTACCGCGATAAGTCTAACAAAGTTGCAATTTCTGAGTTTGATTTCCCAGAATTAAAAAATTTAATTATCAATAACCGAATTTTCTCACTAATAACCTTTCCTCTACCCATTTTGAAAACCTTAACTACCCAAAACTTTTTTGAACGTATTCTGACAGCTGTGATTAATAAAAACAATTGTCATGGCTTTTATTTTTCACAGCCACCTATGCGTTATAGACTTATTTTGCATTGAAATGAAAATAGGTTGATATGCTGTAATTGCAACATGTGTTAATTTTATGCTGCAAATTTGATTAGGGAGTGATAAAGTTGGTGTTTTCTACTATACAGGGTGTTCGATAATTATTGCGACAAAATGAACAATTTTGCCTTATAAACCCCTGTTTGGAAATATGCCGTTTGGGCTGCAGCAAAAAAAAAAAGATCAGTTTCTTGAAACAGCTTACCTACAGTAATTGCTCAAAGTGTCCTCCACCTTGCTCAATACACAGCTGTGCACGATTGTTCAATGATCGGGGAACTCTGTGGCATACCCACGGTATGTCCTGAACATGTGCGGACGCGGCCATCACTCTTCCCAGTAGCTCTTCTTGGTTGGGAACAGGAGTTTCGTACACTAAAGCTTTCAGATGGCCCCAGAGAAAATAATCCAGTGGGGTCAGGTCGGGTGACCGCGCAGGCCAAGGCCCAGGGCCACCTCGGCCTATCCACCTATTTGGAAATTTGTCGTCCAAATACTGCTGCACTTGTAAAGAAAAGTGGGCTGGAGCACCATCGTGTTGAAACCACATGGCTCTTATGTTCAGTGGCACATTTTCTAATAGTTCCGGTAGCACATGCTGTAAGAATCAACCATAAGCATGCCCATCCAAACGTGGTGGAAGCAAATATGGCCCGATGATATGCTCGTCCACAATGCCGCACCAGATGTTAATTGAAAACTGATGTTGGTCTCTATGGATGGCTATGGCATGAGGTTTTTCTTCATCCAAAATGTGACTATTACGGCTATTAAAATAACCGTCCTTTGTAAAACAGGACTCGTCAGTGAACAAAACGTAGCGACCAAAGTTTGGTTGCCTCAACTCCTGCTGCAGCCACCAACGACAAAAACGTCGACGCGGCAGATAGTCTTCTGGACCCATGGCTTGGACTTTTAAAAGGTGGTATGGGTGTAGTTGCTGGTCATGGAGAACCCGCCAAACTGTAGTTTGAGACGCCCCCATATCATGTGCAATAGCACGCACGCTTGTACGCGGATTGGCCTCTACATGATGCAGAATCGCTTCCTCAAATTCTACTGTGCGCCTCGTGAAGGGCCGCCCTGCTCCCGCGAAGTATCTGATGCTGCCACTGACACGAAGACGTCCATGAATCCTTGCAAAAATGGCGTGATGCGGATGAGGACGTTCTGGAAACCGTTGGGCGTAGATTCGCGAGGCTCGTCTTCCGTTACCACCAGCGTCTCCGTAACTTAAATGCATATCCACAAGTTCCGCATACGAATAACGCTGCATTTTAACACTAAGGTACTGTTATTTACTATCTAGTTTGACGCACCACTCAGATAAATTAAATGAATCGACTTCAATATTTCCGATATTAATGAAGACAAAGCCTGGGTGGCTGAACCTACTGATGCAATTATAGGTGTTACTGAGAGTACGGGTTTATGTATTTTCGGAAGTGCATAGAATTTAGGAGGGACAGAGTTATAAGTAGTCAAAGTTCTTTTTTGTTCTTGGTTATTTGTGCAGTGCTGAGAAGTTCCTTAACAATGTCATTACTTTTCTTTTCCACCTTTGATATATATATATATATTATATATCATATTTACAGTGCTTTTCTTTAATGTCCCCTTCCCCTTTGATTTTTTGAACGGATCAATTCAAAAAATTAAATCTAAGGGAATGAAATTAATGCGTAGATACCATATTTTAGAGTGAAATTGACAGATGAAAATGTCAAGAAAAAAAATTATCTTAAAACAGGGGTCTTGTGGCACATCATTTTGAAGCTCCTGACGAGTACTTCATAACCCTAGAATATAAAGTCGATACCTTTACCTACTACAAAATGGTGGTACATTCAATAATTACCTGAATACATTGACATTTAACTTGATAATCCAAATAAATACGTCAGTTCAGTTTATAAGATGCTGGAAATAGTTGACTTGAACTTCTTGACACAATAACAGCCGGTCCGTTATTTCGTGTCGAACATTTTCAAACATAGTAAGATCGATATTTCTACAAATATTTGTTATTCTCAGCCGTGTATCCAATATTGAAGCAGGTTCAGTTTCGTACACCTTTTGCTTCAAATAGCTCCATAAAAAAAGTCTAAGGGCCGATTTCACCAACATTAATATTATGGACCAATGGGAAAATACTTTATCGAAATGCAATTTGACAGAAGCTGTCAAAGGTCTCTGAATATTAGTGATTTCTATTGAAATATTGAATAAAATCGTGAAAATTCGACTGTATTATAAACAAGACGACTTTTTAATCCCAACATGATGCTTTTGTACAGGAAAAACAGGACAACTTTCATGTATTTTGATATATGTTATAGGTTTACATTTATCAATCCGTTATCCCCCTCAGCGAATGGGAATGCGGCAAATAATAGGTCGATTTTCTAGCTGTTAAATTTGGCAGCAGATTTGGACGTTTGTTAATGCATGGCACTCTCGAATTTACCAGCTTTAATATACTGAAAGTTATCATTACATACCTGTTGAATAGTGTGGATTTGTCTGTATTTTGCAAGAAAATAGAATATAAAATACATTCCATCCAATTCCTCATCTTCCTTTACGTCATAATAGTAATCATTTATTAATTTATGGGTTAATGAATTTCTTCAAAGCAATAAAAACATTATGTCCTCTCCATCCTAAAACACAGATAATATGTGTAAGACGTGTCAATCTCTACATCTCCCTAATGCATAATGCAATTACTATGGACATAGACAAAAAATTATGAAAAATGTTTCACAAATAATGTCCTTTTAAGTCCAAAAATCATCAAAACTAGTAATGTTTATTGTTTGTTTTTGACTGACGGTCGTTGACTGGCGGGGATATCTATCTGTCACTCGAGGGTTGCCAAGTCTAACGACGATCACGTCCCGTGGTGGAGGGTGCGAAATGAATCTTTTACATTTGCTGGTTTTGCATTTTTTCCGTGAAAATTTACTAGGTATCATGATTATAAGCATCTTTGGTAGATTGTTCGATCCGAAATGGGAAAGATCTCCTATTTATGAAAATATTTTTGGTATCATCTAACCGTTGCAATCAGTGCACAAACACTGTGACATATGATTTATAGCATAACCCGCTGCCCTATCAATACAAATTTAACATACAGATCGCCTAGCCGTGGGGATGCAGTGGTGGGGATGCAGTGGTCGGGATGAATATCACGGCAGCAACTGATGATTTGGGCATGTCTGGTAAGAACGTATGAAGTGAAACTCGCTAACTTCACAAATTTGAAGATTTTGTACAATTTCCTTGAAAATGATGAAAGATATGTTTTATTTGGCAGGGTAATGTCGCAGCCAAATGGCAGTCGCTCTTTCTGACACAGTCCGGATCGAAAGATGACGATAACTCGTGAAATGTATATTGATACTTCTAAATATAGGATCCTATCGAACATCCTTACTGTCAAGATGTATAACCCAAGGTACCGACGGAGCTATTTTGCGGCGTCATGGAAATAATTTTAAATTTTCATTTGCATTTTTTCAAGTGTTGTGCAATGATTTTGGGAAAAATGTCACGAATAGTCTTATAAAGCATAGTAGAGTATATTTCAACAGTTGGCGGAACTTACTCCACTGGGACCAGGAGGGTGAAACGGGATATTAATGCACAATCTGGCAACCCTGTCGCACCCTCACAAAATGGCCGCTGACAAACACACAAGTCACCGTGTTGTGAATTAAACCTCTAGAGTATGTTTTGTGACTGGTACCAAGAGTTGACAGAGCCCACACATGTGTCACTCCTTGAAATGCAATAATCAGCTGTATTCAAATAATGTCTAATATAAATATAACCTAGAATGTGTACTCGTGAAAAATATGGCAAATTTGTAGTTTTTTTGCAGGTTTTATAGGTTTGCTGATAGCTTTAAGGCATATATTTGGGAATTTTTAATCGCTGTGAATATAGTGTGGATGTTTGTTCAGTTCCTGAACCACGAAAAATATTCAACTTTATAATAATAATATAATAATAATAATATTTATTCACTCAATGTACAAAGATAACAAACAATATGAGTAAATAAATATAAAAGCAAAACAGGCCCAATAGAAGGCATCGCCTGTACATGGACCAATAAATTTAAGTTATGGATGTATGGATATCAAAAAACCTGAATGGTATTGTGGGAATATCAATCTAAGGTGCCATAATGGTTCTGATGAACGGCAAGTAAATGAATGAATGTTTGGAAACGAGCAATATCTTTTGGTAGAGCCTGTCATCAAGTAGGTGCTTAATGGCTATCTGCAAGAGGTTTATAGGAAAAAACACCCAGTATCGCATACCAATTGAAGAAAATAATATAAACATGAATAAAAAATCAACAATAGTAATTAAAACAACAAATTTTATTCAAAAATCAACATTTCTATAAATTTTGACTGAATCATATGTAATTTCTTAATATTCAATAAGCTGGTGATGTTTCAATGACAAGCTGTCATCTCATACTTTGACAGTATTTTGTGTTCAACCTTTCATAACTATTGGTTGCGAAAATTTGTTGATTGGAACTTGAAGCTGATTCGCTGTATCTGACGGTCTGTTACCCTATAGGTGGAGAATAACGGACTGTCGTTGGTGAAATTGGGCCTTAAGGTGTCAAATCTGGCGAGCGAGCTGGCCATTCCACAGGACCCGACGGTCAATCCAACGACCGGGGAAATTGTTATCTAAATAATTCCTAACTTGTCTGTAGTAGTGTGGTGGAGCACCATCTTGCTGGAATACAATATCAGTATCGAATTCATTAGGATTCGTTTCGACAATTTCTGTGATTAGTGGCTCTATAGTATTTTAAAGCATATCCAAATATAGTTCCCCGGTTAAAGTTTGTTCGATGAATACAGGCCCCACAATATGATTTTCCAATATCCCAGCCCAAACGTTAATTTTTTGTGAATATTGAGTATGAGTTTCCCGGAAGACGTGAGGATTGGTGTCACTCCAGTAACGACAATTTTGTCTATGCACATTAACTTTGAGAAAAAATGTACATTCATCACTAAAACAAATATTTTGGATATAGGTTCCTAGCCTCCGTGCAATGGTTTCCGTCATAGTCTCGCAGAATTTTGTTTTTCGATCAGGGTCATCTTCAGTTAGCTGATGTACCATTTGAATTGTGTATGGGTGATACTTATTCTTTTTCCAAAGTCTCCATACAGTAGAAGGACAAACCTCACATACATTCGCGATGGAGGAAGTAGACTGTTGGGAATTTACTATGATATCACCAATTATTTGAACTTGCTTTTCTTCTGGGATGGTCGGATGACCTGGAGCTGTTTGTTGTTTACATTAGCAGTAGCTGTAAATTCGGATAAAAGTTAAATATGTCCTACAGATAGGACGATTCGGGAAACGATCATTGCAAATCCTTTCGGTCTCGTGAAAGTTACACGTCGCACCATAAATAAAAATCAAGAGAGAGAGAGAGAGAGAGAGAGAATTACACACGAAGTCAGAAACAAGAGCCAACCTACACATTGTAGTATAAAGTGGCTACAAGACCTTGAATTTTCAAGGCGACATCTAACCACAACCACGCGGTCGGTTATAGCACCTTGCTGTGTGAATTCGAGCAGAATATAGGATACACGCAGTTGCAGAGAAAACTGAGATATCAACTAGGCAAGTTGAGAAAAATGTAGAATTAGCCAAATCCACAACCCAATTTATTTTGCGAAAAAATAGATATCACCCCTATAAATTCAAGATTTATCAATGTCTTAGACCAGGGGATAGCAAATCTGCGGGTTAAAAAAATATCCAGACATCCAGTTTTTGCAACATGATCTAGAAGACTGCCTGGACAATTTACCTTTGGCACAGGATAATAGCTGTTTCAATAGCACGACGCTCTTGCACTTAACTCTAGGCAAGTTCGATAGTATCTTTCTGAACGATTTGGATTGGAACCTCCAGTGAAGTGTCCTAGCCAGAGCGTACCCCGGATTTAACTCCTCTGGACTTTTTTGTTTGGGGTTTTATTAAAAACCATGTTTATCAGCATACTTTGGAAACTGAGCAGCAGTTACGAGAATGTGTAATGGATATAATGTATGATTACAGCAGAAATGTTACGTGATGTTTTGAACTCTACTGTTAGATGGTCATATTTATAGCAAAATGGCAACCTATTTGAACACCTATAAATGAATAAAATAAAAATAATGTTAAATGCTTACCTACAAAATGAGGCCTCACATAAATTCCGATCAAAAGTATAACCATATGTATATGACCAAAGACTTCATCAAAAGGTTTAAGGTGCTCGCTCATTGAGGGGCAGGGATGCGAAGGATACGTTACACATAATCCAATGGCACACTGGAACGACGCGAAGGAAACCGTGTCAAGTTTGCCGCATGCATATGGAAATGGTCGCTGCGGTTGACTTCCGTCGCTTCACCTCAGTGTGCGTGAATGTTTCGGGCTTTCGACAAGATAGGGCAATAAATTAAAATGTACCATCTTGGCAGATTCTCATTCCGAGTCTGTAGTACCGAATATTTAGTTGAATTGAATGAATTTTTCAGTTATGGGGGATTTGGAACCCGAAGATCGGGATCGGATAAGAATCCAGGATAACGTGTTGTCGATAAGTTATTTGAATGACGAAAGAGATCCAGGCATGTACCAATGCAGGGCATCCAATACATTGAAAACTAAGTACTCGTCAGCTCAGCTAAAGGTGTTAGGTAAGTTTTATTTTTACTCGCCATCATCATTTGATTATACCAGTTAGTATAAATGTTAATGCACGTGATCAGAACAGTTGCTGGAATTGGTCTCAATTCCTCAGAGTCCAAATAAGTAGTTAGTATCTCTAATGGCGTTAGAAATATATTTCTAGTATTGCATGAGACTTAACATGATTTATAAATGTAAAATCAGAAGCTTTTCCTTAGGTTTTCATGCTGATGATACTCCATGTTTGTCTGGACACTAAAAGAAACCACCTGTTTTGAATACTCACTACGTTTATATCGGATAAGATTAAGATTTATTTAGTATTTAGTTACAATTACATATGAGGGGTTTGTATCGTAGCGGGTTGGGTCTCTTCTTTCAATCCTTGACAAGATGGCATTGGCTTTATTGTAAGGTTGTCCATATAATTTTTAAAATCGGATTAAACTGTGTATACCGGTAAAGACAAAGTCAAATCTGAATCAAATCCTACTTATTTGAAGGGGTGGCTCATCCTGTTAAAGGGATGATCTTAAGTGTTTATATCGGGGATTTTGAATCTTGATCCTAAGATCATCCTGCGTAAATATTCGACATAAACGTAGTGACTTTAATGATGCCACGGTCGTCTTTTTCAGTACTTGAAAAGGACCACCGTGGTGACTGAAACGTATCATTAAACAGTATTTCGAACATATGTGGGTTCATTCATCAGTGCTCACAAGGATCTATGTTCACGTAAATAATGGAAACAAGAATGCCAAGGAGAAACTGATTTAAAGAGGAGATAATTGTCGACAAGGATAGATTCACAGAACGACTATTAAATGAAAGCTGAAGACAAGGAAAATATGATTTAGTTGTTCAAAGCATACTAATCACTATTCATTCAGGCACCAGAAACCATGTACTTTTGCCCAGCCTCCTTCACATAACATCAACTATTGCATGCATTCAAATAGATCAGTGCAAGTATTGTTCCTTACTATATACAGGGTGACTTTGAAGTTGAGTCATTAATTTTCAGATAATGATTGTAGAAGGAAGATAAACCAAAATATGTGTGTAAAAATAAAAAAAAAAATAAAAAAAAAATGTTGTTGTTTAATAAAGTATCCTCCCGACAAGTACTTCAGTGCGGACCTGTATTTGATCGTGCGGTCGTGGAGCAGCATGCCCTCACCTGTGAGGTCTTAAGTCACCTGATTCACGAGCCCTTTGTACTACATTAACAAAGGCACGAGGGGTTGGTTGCACTCGATTGGGAAACCGATTCGCGTAAATCCGTGATGCATCCGGGAGCATTTTGTAAAGACTGCCCCCCCGTAAATAAGAATCATGTCCACAAGTTCAGCATTTTTGTAAACATGTGCCATTTTTGATTTCGTTTGAACCACGCAACACACTACTATTCACTTACGCGTTATCGACTGACGAAAAACATCGTGATAAACGTTTCAAATTCTTTCGCTTTTTTGTTTCCGATGCGATGAACCGGTCAGGCGGATTATATCCGTTGTCGCCAAACACGAGCATATAATAGGCAGGGCGGTACTCAACCTTCCAAAGGGCTATAACTTTGTTACTTTAATTTTACCAGAAAAATGGTAAAGGAAAAAAACATTTCTTTTGATCAGATCTACTCACTGTTAAAATAAATGACTCAACTTCGAAGTCACCCTGTATATATTTATATACAGGGTATCCCAAAATTGAAGGATAATCCTGCAACTGTAGATACGTCACGTCATGACCTACTAGATGGTAAAAAAAATTGTTTTACTTAAAGTCTGATAGTATTTGAAATTTTTAGCATTCATTTTTTTACGAAACTTGCTTATATTTAGTTAAACCCATGCCATTTCTACAAATATCAACTTTTTTGAACCAGGTTTATTTTGAAACACTCAGAATTTAAGCATTTTATCTCGTCCAGCATTATGTTTCTTGGAGTGGCGAAAAAACCACATAGAAGTTATGCCAAAGTCTAAATGATTATTAGAACCCCTTCTCACGTCTGACTTTGACACCCTGTAGACGTAGAGTGAGAAGATCAAGTAAGATCACTGTGCCAATTTGTCGAAAAAGTTGGCCAACTGTTGGGAGTTTTTTAATGGTGTTATTATTATTCGCCCCCTGCTGTTTTTTTTTTTCGATTTATTGTAGTTATAATGGATGAGAATTAGTTTTCGTAGATATCAGAAAATAATAAATACGGCTTGGATACAAAAAGAAAAAATGGAGAGACTTGACTTGACCTACATTATCATAAAATATTTTTTGAACCTACGAGCCCCTTTCCACTTCAGTGGGCCCACTTCAAGATTTGTACCAAAATACGCCTTTATAAACTAAACATGACGAAACTATTTACTTCTAAAACAATTTATTTTCTCAAAAACATTTTAGATACACTCTAGTGGTAAAAAATACATATTTGAAATCACTTAGACCTATAACTAATAGAACATCTGAACAAATAACAATGTGCGATTAAATGCGCGAAGTTAACAAAGCAACAATTGAAAGATTACCATTGGGTAACATCACCTTTATTTTTTATTACGGCTGAAATTCTTTAGGGCAAAGTATTAACCAAGTTTTGGCAAAAATTTGGTGTAAAACAATCGCATATTTCTTTCTAAGCTTTTGTCTCAGTTCGGTGATTGTACGAGCAGGATGGTGTCGTAGAACCTTTTTCATCTCGTGCCACAAAGTTTCAATATGTGACAGATCTGGACTTCTAGAAACCCATTTTAAAAGTGGTACATTATTTTCTTCCATCCATTTTATAGCCTTTTTTGAGGTATGGCACGCTGCAACATCTTGCTGAAACACAAAATCTTGACCGGATGTCAAACATTCTTCCATCACTGGTATAAACCGATTCTTCTAAAATTGCCAAATATTTGTTTGTATCCACATTTCCATCAATAAAATGAAGTTTCCCTACTCCTTTTGATGACATACTGCCCCAGACCATAATGGGTGTTGGAAATTTCACTTTTCTCTTCAGACAGTGAACATGGAATGCTTCATTTTTTTTGCGAATAACTCTACTGCGACTGACACCAACACAAACTTCGAATCGAGCCTCATCACTCCATTGTATTGCCCACCATTGTGGAGGTTTCCATTGTCTATGTTCTTTCACATTTTTTTATAAGAAAACTTACCTTGCAAGTGCTAAATCCCAGTTTGTATGCCTCTCTATGAGTTGTGGACCTCGAAATTCTCCTTCCAACAGCGTCACTCCACAGAGCACTTAATTGTAAATAATTGGCACGCCTGTTTTTCACGATTATTTTTCTTAATGCTCTTCGGTCGGCATTTGTGATATTACTTTTTTTCACATATCGTGGCTTAATATTAACTGAACGAGTTACGTTATATCTTCTAACAATATTTCTCACACTGTATCGCGATAAGTCTAACAAAGTTCCAATTTCTGAGTTTGATTTCCCAGAATTAAAAAACTTAATTATCAGTAACCGAATTTTCTCACTAATAACCTTTCCTCTACCCATTTTGAAAACCTTAACTACCCAAAACTTTTTTGAACGTATTCTGACAGCTGTGATTAATAAAAACAATTGTCATGGCTTTTATTTTTCACAGCCACCTATGAGTTATAGACTTATTTTGCATTGAAATGAAAATAGGTTGATATGCTGTAATTGCAACATGTGTTATTTTTATGCTGCAAGTTTGATTAGAGAGTGATAAGGTAGGTGTTTTCTACTATATATTATCAAAATATTCATTGTTCATATTTTAAACCTATAACACCCTGCTACATTTTTATTATTTGTGTTTGATAAGAAGAAAACTAAGATTTCAATAGTTGGGCCAACTGAAGTGGGAAGGGGCTCGTACAAAAAATAACAGCTTGAATGCTCGAGGTTGCGTCTATTTTGGAATTCATTTCTGTTACTGTGACCAGCACAGCTTTGTATACAAATTCTCTAAAGCAACCCTAACAAAAAACTTGGTGGATATAGGTCCATCGATCTTGGTGGCAACTGAAGTGGTCTCGATCTGACCGAGTGTAATGTGCCGGGGTATTACTGAGTATTAGTATGTTGCAGCAGATCTGATACAGAATATTTTGATTGATAAACTGACATACTCAAATGGCTAGATGAAGCAGATTTGATACCTTGTTCGTAAGTTTTGTATTTTTTAAAAGTTAGTTGTTGTTGAGTGCCTCTTGTTATTTGTATTTTTGTGCCTTAGGAGTTAGTTATTTCATTATGCCCAGATGCTAGAATCCACTTAGCGAGTACGCAGAATGCATCTCATTTACGAGGAACGCTAGTGCATCGCTACAAAAGCGGCGGAACTATATCATGCGATAAAGAGGTTTTACTTCCATTATTATGTATAACATTAACTGAAAACTACTTTTCTACTGTTAAAGATACCCCAATCAACACCATCCCGATTACAGTGTTTTCATTAACGTCCATCGATCATAGTTAAAAGGCAGATTACCGAGAAGAGGGATTTAGCAGTAGAAGAGGTGACAATGGCAGACCCTGGATGGTTGTCGACGAGGATGTTCCGGGTGAAGTGATTTGGCGGACTATTATCATAATTGAGTGTTTGATACGTAACAGCATCATGTTATACATGAAATGGTAGAAGCCCAGACGGAAATTAGTTTCTAAGAAAAACCGTCCTCACGTCTGTTAATAAGGCAAACATATCTGCTACAACATAAGAATACTAATACATCACTCTCGATCATATGGGAACCACTTCAATTAGATATATATTTTTTGATGTTATATGACCTCTACATCACGAAAAACCGCCTGCCTGTCGGTCAGTCTGTCTATATGCCGGTCGTCTGCTAATCCTTGGCCCGTTTATAGTTTGGAAAGTATTGCTCGGAAATTTTCACACAAGGATACTTCTGTGTCAAGGACAAAAAAGCTTTGTAGTGTTTCAAAATCGGTCCTTAGGCGGTGCAGCTCAGGGAAAAAAGTAAAAATCACTAAAACTTCATTTTTTTGAAAAAAATTTGAAGAGGTAGAATTGAGATATCGGAGATACAGGGTGTGGGAAGTGTATTTTTTCTTTATTCATACGCTCCCAACCCAGGTAATCATATATTAGTCATATCATAACGCTTTGCTTGATCAATTCGCAGAGTAAAATTCAATATACATTGCTCTGGTGTCGGTGACGAATAAAAATATAATAGAAAGTGATCCATGGCAATCAAATGCAGATGGAGATGTACCTACTACGATATATCACCAAATAGCAGAAACATCTATTATGGGATTACATACAAAAAAAGAGATGGTTTGTATGGAAAAGGGAAAAATAGAGCTGTCCATAGTAAATATTTCTCCAAACATAACAATAATTGAGACTTACTCAAAAAGACTAAATGAATTAAAATCTCTCCACAGTTTAAGGCCGTACTTGGTGAGAGGAGATTTGAATTGGATGTCGACAACCTAGGTATCCCGGCTAACTGACAAAAGAGGAAAGCTCTTTGACAGGAAGCCTAGCCGTAGCAATCGATGGTGACGAGGCAACCTTTGTCAAAGGAAGCCAAACATCCTGTATCGACAATACTTTCCATAGTGAAAACCTGATTAATAAAATCAAAAACTAGAAAGTGCTCGATGATAAATACCGGAACCACCATGAGTATATTATGTTTGAAATAACAACTAATAAACATGATAGACTACAGACTCACAAGATCCGTAGGAGGAAAATAAATGGAGCTGAATTAAAAGCATTTCCCGGAAATCTGCAGTTAGCGCTATGGAACACAAAATTGAATGGTTACAAGGACAAACTTCAGCAACTGGAGCATATCGTCATGTCAGCATCACCTTCGGCGTGGTTCACAAAAATGGTGCAATGGAGGAAGCAAAGTATTGGTGGAATAGTGAAATATGGACAAAATAAAGAAATGTCTATCAGGCGTAGAATAACAAGAGATAACAAAGTACCATGGACCAAATAGAACAAGGGATAATGTCCTGATGTCAGGATGATAAAAAAGAACTAGAAAAGCTTACAGTGAACTCAAAACAGAGAGTATGGAAAGAGTTGTTCAAAAGACGCTTGGGGCAAGCATACAAGATAGCTATGAAAAATCGAAAACTCATAGACAGACCGTACCTGGATACCGATTGTTTCCGAAGTGCTCACTCACCTAATGGGAATTTGAAGAAGTTTTTGACGCACCAGTATCCACCATGAGAAATCCGGAAGAAGCGGCAACGCACTTGAAAACAAGTAAGGCACTCCTAAACGTAATACCATCGCAAAGGCGATGGTTAAAACACATGGACAAGAAGACTGATCCAGATATTGAAACTTGAATATACAAGGAAGTGGTGCTGATATATTACTATACTGCACAGTTTCTTACAGGACATTGTTGTTTTAACAGTTTCCTGAAGAGGGTACGAAAGAAAGAGTACGCTAACTGTTTATATTGCAACGAAGAGGAAGATAGCCCTAATCATCTACTAGTATGTAGTCGATGGGTTGACTAGTAGAGACAACTGGAATTAACGCTCGGCAAGTTTGCCATACATGTAAGCGAGGGCAACAGAACGCTGCCAGCTAAAGAAACATCTATATAACGTGAGACTGGGTGAAACATCCTTATGTAGAGGATGTGAATAGGAAGATAAGATAATCGAGCCCTGCTTTGCTGCCCAGCTGTCCTATCAATTCGAGAATCCATTCTAGGGGAACGTTGGGCTCTTTTTGGCCAGTGTAAGGGAAACTCCGTTGAGTTGCATCACCACCTTTTTCAATAGTTTGGGGTGGTTGACGATCCAGTCCTGAGTGAGCCCTGGGTAGGAAGTACAAGGGGCCCAATGGGACCTAAGGGATGATTGCCCTAAATATACAGAATACAGAATGGGTTGATTCAACTAATAGTGAGGCGGATGATGCTGAGCAAGGTACAAGAGGAAAAAAATAGACAAAGGAACAAACAGTAGGTTCTTGCTTGCTCAGTTGTACATGTAGACGGGTATGAATGTGTGTATATGTACGATGGAGCGTAGATGACTAATACCTTTGTTAGGAAAACCTATAGCAATTGCTACCCACTATGAACAAATGCTGGATTAGCGCGGTGAGCAAACGACTGAGGCGTTTCCATGAGCATGCCGCTTCTGGAGAATCTTACACTTCGGACAGGAAAGACCGACAGAAACACTGGCGAGCTTTTCTGCCTGAGAGAAAAACATAACATAATTTTGCCCTTAAAACTTAGACTGGATACAATACGTGCGTCGCGATCTATCCAATGGGTCGCAGTTGGCAGTGGCTGCCGTTGTCTGCCATACTGCCGTAGATCCACTCGAGGTTAGCCATAGCAACGTTCATGTGTGTCCGCACGAATTTTTGTCAGGAGGTAGGGGGATACATCTGCAGGAAATAACCTTTTGTGGAAGTGTACCTGCCTTTTCACAGAGCGGGGGTAGCCGGTAGCAAATTCTGTCAGGGGCTAAGTTTTCAAAATGCCCAAAATAGTACACAAAAGCATGTTAAATATGCAAATTTTAATTGTAGGGATCTGATTGTAACTAAGTCGACCTTCCATACGCTATTTGTTCATCTTCTGTTATAGGTGCCTAATAATACTCCTCATTTTCAAAACTGAGGAGACAAATAAGGCCGCACGTGATATCAATGGCCACCACCAGACTTAACGTTAACCTTATTTGCATTTAGCACACATAAACCATTATTACGTCAATGGACCAAATTGTCAAATAACCGTATTCGTTATTGTGAATACCCATAACTCTCTATTGTCTCATATTTCTCGTGAAGATTGAATAAAGAGTTGATCTACGTAATGGATGCATTCAGCAACATCTATTCTATCTTTTAGCATTCAAACCATCCTTCAAGAAACATCCATTGGAATTTGAAACATATGCACAAGACGGTGGAAACGTAACAATAAAATGCAATCCAGAGGCTGCGCCTAGAGCCAAGTTCGTCTGGAAAAAAGATGGGAATCTTATTGGAGCCGGAGGACACAGAAGGGTTTCCGAAGGTGGAAACTTGTTTATTAGCCCTATTTCTAGGGATGATGAAGGTTTATACACTTGCACCGCTACAAACGAACTTGGCATGGATGAATCAAAAGGAAGATTGATTGTACTACGTGAGTAGAATAGAATGGATGTTTATTAATTGAATTATTATTACTAATTATGTACATAATTGAACATTACAAAATCACATACCACTTCAATCCAAAATATAAAGTCCCTAATTTGCTTTCAAATATTTTGACAGTTGGTACCGTTTTTTTTTTCTATTTCTAGTAATCCATAATACAGTGCTTTTCAAAAATTCCTCCACTACTAATTATTTTTTTAGAACAGCTAAAGTTAGCAATCGGCGTAATTCTAAAAAACGACTACCACTACTACTACTACTATTTTAGCGTAGCAGTTGAAAAATTCGAGATGACGTCTGAGTGTCACTTTAGAACAATTTTTTCAAGTCCCGGTTTTACCAACAGGATATCAAAATTTTTGATCCGTATCAAAATAAACCAATGGGAAGGCATCTTTCTAGTAGTGGATCTAATGAATATAGTATTTTTTTTAAATATCTCCCAAACTAACGAAAACATATACGAGTTGTGTAATCCCATTGAATGAAATTATTTATAAATCACCTGGTTTAGCTACAAAAACATATTTTTTCATTTGATGCGGTGATCAGCACCTATGATCCGGGTCAACAATGACCAATTAGAAAGCGTTTTAGTAAAACTTTATCAAACATTTGCCACGCCAACGTGCGATTGTCGATTAAATTGCCGCATAATGTAATTTGTAGATATGTGCGCGATATATGCGCGAAATTTATGAAAAGTAGTGGCAATCATATTTTTAATAAAAGTTTTTCAGTATACATATAACGTATGTAGGTTTCTGGGAAAAACAAAGAGCACAGGAAGATCTTTATTATATTCGAAATCACTGCCTTGTGCGTCCAGTCACAGGACGGCCTAGTGCTACCACATCAAATTGTTCAACGAAAAGTCGGGAGGCTGACTTTTTTTACCCCAAATAAATTTTGTAAATCCGATTTTTGAACTGCCTAAGGTTAGTAGAACTGGGAAAAGCTTCCTGTTGTAGATTGTTCCACAATCTCGACACCCTCGGGACAAAGGAGCGGTCGTATCGGCCAGTTCTGGATGTACGAAGTTCGACACGGTTAGGATGGGACGCTACAGTCAGGCAGGTCTGCCTGGCAGGCACATCGCGCGGCGGCATCATAGATGAGAGCTCTGAGGAGCAAAGCCCGTTGGTGTAGCGGTAGAAAAGAGCTAGATCGCCGACGGCCCGCCGGTGCGAAAGGGTCTCGAGACTGTCTGTTAGAGAAGAGTCATCGATCAGTCGGACCGCCCTGCTCTGGACAGCATCGAGCATGGACAATGTAGTCGGTGCGGCAGCACCCCAAATGTGTGAGCAATACTCGAGGCTAGGCCTTATCTGGGCATTGTATAGAGTGAGAAGGTCATGCGGAGAAAAGTACTTCTTAGCCCTAAACAAATAGCCTAGCTTTTTCCCAGCAGCTGCAGCTATTGAAGAGATGTGTTCGTGCCAGATCAGGTCCTCGGTGATCTGGACTCCAACCAGCCGAAAGGAATGGCTCTTTGGCAGAACTCGGCCATCCATCGAAACCGGATGAGCGCTAGGACGCTTTTTGTTCGTCAAAGTACAGTACTGTGTTTTGGAAGCATTGAACTGTACAAGATTGTTGCGTCCCCAAGCAGTGATAGCCTCCAGGTCTCTTGTCAGAGAGGAAGTCGTCGCTAGTCTTCTTTTTTCCGGCTCAGCGGCAGAGATTTTTTATATCGAAGCAGCCGCGCAGGCAGAAGCCTAAATGCCGAAACACCGCGGCTGCTACGATGATCCCAAAGAAATTTTGAAAATACGATTTTTGAACTGCCTAAGGTTAGTAGAACTACTCTTGTAGATTGTTCCACAATCTCGACACCCTCGGGACAAAGGAGCGGTCGTATCGGCCAGTTTTGGATGTACGAAGTTCGGCACGGTTAGGATGGGACGCCAAAGTCGGGCGGGTCTGTCTGGCAGGCGCATCGCGCGGTGGCATCATGGATGAGAGCTCTGCGGAGCAAAGCCCGTTAGTATAGCGGTAGAAAAGAGCTAGATCGCCGATGGCCCGCCGGTGCGAAAGAGTCCCGAGACTGTCTTTTAGAGAAGAGTCATCGATCAGTCGGACCGCCCTCCTCTGGACAGCTGGGCGGCAGCACCCCAAACGTGTGAGCAATACTCGAGGCTAGGCCTTATCTGGGCCTTGTATAGAATGGGAAGATCGTGCGGAGAAAAGTACTTCTTAGCCCTAAACAAATAGCCTAGCTTTTTCCCAGCAGCTGCAGCTATTGACGAGACGTGTTCGTGCCAGATCAGGTCCTCGGTGATCTGGGCCCGACCAGCCGAAATGGATGGCTGTTATGTGCGGCAAGGACACATCCGTTCCAGTCTGGTGGTAGGTTTATTTGAGTTTACAAAAGTGGACTGTATTTGATTTGGTAAATGAGTGACAATGCAAATTTCTTGAACCTGTTGATGCGTTCTATGTCGACACCTCCAATCTTGGTCGCGGCGCTTCGATCTCCTGGTGTCTCCGTCCCCATTGGCTGGATTCAAAAACTGTCAGGCAGCGCTTGCGCAGTGGTCGTGGCTGGTACACAGTGGCGCGCGCGCCAAATGACCATTGGCGTAACATAGGCCGCCCCCTTGAAAGCCTCCAGGCTTTCAATACGATGAGATGCTGTCGTCGTCTGGAAGTGGAAGAGCACAAAGCTTGACTACTGGCCTTTTGTACTCTCCAGTTGAAGTTCTTAAGGTAACAGTTCGAGTGATGTGGTCTGGTCCGGGATGGAGTTCAGTTATTCTGCCGATTCTCCATTTCAATGGAGGGAGTCCGTCTTCTTTAACTAGCACCAGAGTGCCGATCTTGAGTCTTTGAATGAAGTTCTCCTTCCACTTGGTGCGATGCTGCAGATGTGAGACATATTCTTTGGACCACCTGGCCCAGAAGTGCTGCGTCATTTTCTGCGGTCGTTCGAAACGAGATAATTGGTTTCCAGGAACGGTTAACCAATCTTTGTCTGGTGTAGCCATTAATGATTCGCCGATGATGAAGTGTGCGGGTGTGAAAGGAGAAGGGTCTGAGGGGTCGTCTGATAAAGGGTAAAGAGGTCGAGAGTTCACACATGCTTCAATTTGAGTCAATACCGTATAGAACTCTTCAAACGTTAATAGCGTTTCACCGACAGATCGTTTTAAATGATGCTTTACCGTTTTGACTGCGGCTTCCCATAGCCCCCCAAAGTGAGGTGATCTAGGTGGTATGAATGTCCATTTAATACCATCAATGGCTAATTTTTCCGAAATGGCATCAGTCCGCTGTAAAATGAATTGTTTTAGTTCTTTACTAGCACCCACGAACGTTGTTCCATTGTCTGAGATTACGTGAGAGCAAAAACCTCTGCGAGAAGTAAATCTTCTGAAAGCAGCGAGGAAACATTCAGTTGTGAGGTCACTAACGATTTCAATGTGAATTGCCTTAACTGCGAGACAAACAAATAAAGCAATGTAAGCCTTGGATAACTTGGAGTTACGCGTCTTGCTGAGCTTAATAGTGAATGGACCGGCAAAGTCGATTCCTACAGATAGGAATGGTCGCCCAGGAGTGACTCGAGATTTCGGCAAACTTCCCATCAAGTATCTTTCTTGATTAAGGCTAAAGCGAAAACAAGAGATACATTCCCGAATAATTTTTCGCACAAGCCTTTTGCCGCCGATAGGCCAAAATTTTTCTCTGATAGATGCTAGAAGACCTTGACATCCGATGTGTTTTAAACGTTGATGTTCATGACGAGCGATAATCACGGAGAAATGATTATTTTGGGGTAGGACGTATGGATGTTTTTTATCATAAGGATAATCAGATATTTGCAGACGACCGCCAACACGAATAAGTCCATGCGAGTCAACAAAGGGAGATAAACTAAGAAGACTGCTTTTAGAGCAAACTCTTCCGTCCTGGGTTAGCTGTTGAAGATCGATAGGAAAAGAAGATCTTTGAACTATCCTTATAAGGTATGTTAGAGCATTATCGAGTTCAATAGGTGTCAAGGGGCCAGTTAGCTGATGCTCCTTTGACAGAGTCTTGAGTTTGAACCTGCTGATATAGCCAAACACCCGAAGCAACTTAGAGAACGAAGAGAACTTGATAATTACAGAAGAGAGATGATTTTCTGTTGTCGAGAATAATGAAGTGATCTTTTCCTTGCGTTCAAGGAGATCAAAGCTATCGTTTATTGGGCTATCTTTAAAATGGGGCCAATTCGACTGTTCCCGTGACAGCCAAATAGGACCATGAAACCAAAGATTGGAGGTTAGAAAATCTGACGGAGATATCCCGCGCGACAACAAATCTGCTGGGTTATCACTTGTATGGATATAGTTCCAGGAAACAGGATCAGATAAAGCTTGAATTTGAGAAACTCTGTTCGTAACAAACATTTTAAGAAGATGAGGTGATAATTTCAACCAGCATAATACAATTTTCGAGTCACACCAGTAACAGATTTGATCGAAATTCAGCTTCATGGATTCTTTGACAGTTGATACGAGTTTGACAAGGAGAAGAGCTGCGCATAGCTCGAGCCTGGGAATAGTAACCTGCTTAAGTGGAGCTACCCTAGTTTTTGCACAGAGAATCTTGGTATGACAATTTCCTTGAAAGTCTACGGATCGAATATACACAACTGCTCCGTATGCCTTTTCAGAAGCATCTGAAAATCCATGAAGTTCGATAGAAATTGGATTGTGACATATCACGTGTCTAGGAAATTGAACAGTGTTCAATTCAGAGAGCTTTGATCTATAATCAAGCCATGTTGTATAAAGCTGAGAGGGAATGCTTTCATCCCATGAAACTTTGAGTTTCCACAAGTCTTGCATTATTAGCTTGGAGGTGATAGTGACAGGAGATAGGAGACCTAATGGGTCGAAGATTTGCGCTATACATGATAAGATGTGACGCTTTGTGATTTTTTGAGAGGCACTAGTCTCAGCTATACAATAAGTGAGAAGGTCCAGAGTCGCATTCCAAAATATGCCCAAAGTTTTGTTTTGCTGATCTGCACCGATTTGTATAGTCTCAGAATTTGCGAGAATATCTTTGTGGTTTGAGGACCATTTTCTCAAAGGGAAAC